ACACACACACACACACACACACACACACACACACACACACACACAATGACTCGCTGTGTGTTATTTCAGGATCATTTTAAAGCTATAAAATATATAATAATGTCGACCCAACAGTAACTACTGATTCATTTCATTCTAAATTGTGACATAGTGACTTTATTTTTAAATTAACAAATTAATTTTGTCTGGCTAATAAGGATATAAACTAGATAAACATTGGCTTATTTGGAGCTTGAGTTTTTAAAATCAGTTTTGTCTCACCTGAGTGATATCAGAATTTCCATTTGTGCTTGGTCTAAACTGTCCCCATATATGTCACATTATTTTTAAGCGCCCAGACAAGTTGATTAAAGAGTTTGGCCTTTAATTAAAATTAAAAATACACATTTTTAATTAAAAATACAGATCAATATAATACATATTGATCAGTCCAATAGTGACATCAAGTTATTGGCCTTTTAAATGCTGGTGATGTGGATATATAACAAAATACTTTTATAATACATTAAACATTTTGTTAAATTGTATTTCAAAAAATTAAACAACATGGGGCTATATAGGAAAGAAACAAAACATAATACAAATCATATTATGCATTTGCAAAACTAACTTAAACAGAATTAAAATATTAAGGAAATCACTTTAAATTGACTCTTTTTCAGTTTAGTCCAGTTTCATCAACACGTCAGCCTCAGGTGTTAATTGTAATAAAAGCAGTAAATACCACCATTACCTTACAAAGTGTATATAGATATATACCAGCTGTAAATAACTCAATTCATTCAAGTTCAATTCTAATGTGCAAAATTTTTATGTCGAGTCTCATTATTTACTTCCCTCAAAACTACATATGTTGATATATTTTTTATACATTTGAAGGCATGACTGTGTGTATGTATATACATATATATGCATATTTTAATTTTATGCACCCCCTGAGAGAGTGTAGCTATAATTTTGTGCTTGCATAATTAATAATAATTAATTTAATCAAAAGACACTCTTAAATCTCTAAATATGTAGAACAATTATATTAAATTATAATAAAAATCTATAAAACTATTTAAAAAACTACAATAAAGTGATTAAACACCAATCAAATGTATTTATTCTTTGACAGGAAACTCATAAGTTTCTCTGATGTGACAGGTCGTGTTTTTATTGGACTCTTCCGACAAGGTTGGGGTCAACACCTTTCAAGTTTCCGTAAATGAAATATAATATCCTGGCACTGGTTATCAAAATAAAACACATAATAGTTACTTGAATGTATCTTCTTTTATTTTCTGTGTCTACTTCCGGTTACATTATTTTTAATACGTGATAGCTTGATGGCGTCGTGGGGTCAGCAGCGAGCGGAGCTACCGTTAACCAGGGTGTAAAGTACAGCTAAAAGAGCGCCTCTGATGAAGTTAGCCTTTTAACCACTGCACAGACAAGGAGCTACTTAGTTGGATGAGCCGCCGTTTTGTCGTCTTGTGGTCGAAAAGCTTCAGCTGGTCCCTTTGACAGCCGTCAGGCCTCGTCGTCGTCGTGGTCCGGCAGCACTCGAGTGAAGTTGGGAGCGGACTGCCAAACTTCTGCTTCCTCCAGCGGCTCTCCGCGGGGCCCGGGGCTCCTGTCACCGGCCCTGTGGATGAGGAAGTGACTACACATCTAATTAGCGCCCAGGTACGGTACTAAAGAAGTATTGGATCCATTTGAAGGGTTTATTTATTCCTTTAAGGGCTGTTTGTTTTTCTTATAGTCGTGCAGCGCAGGTGAACGCTGTTTAGCTGTGCGGCTGGCTGTTAGCATTAGCTCAGCTTGACAACTTCCCTGGCCTGACAGCTAGTTGCACACGTCTAGCTTAGCTTCACATATCGGCTCTCTGTTTAGATAACAAATAGTATTTTGGGCGTAAGTGTCAATAGTGTCTTATAATTATTCATAAAAACTGCTGTAATTGCTAAAAATGTGCTAGCAACAGTTGCTATGTTGCTACTCGGCTAACGCTAGCAGGAGAATCTAAAGCGAGCTAATTATCTACCAAAGGAGGCCATAATTTTGCTGTTGATATCAACTTTGTTGTGAGCACTGAGCAAGAGTCTGTACAGAGGATGATGTTCATGAGGAGGATGATGTATGTAAGGATAAAAGAGAGAAGAAAAAACGCTAAGCTAAGGCTAGCACCAATGCTGCAGCTCTCTCAATCAGTGATGATCACAGACTATCATCAACAATTTCCAATCAACTCCTCGTCAGCAGAGGCCATCTTGACTTAAATTTCCACTCTTTTGCAACAACAATAACATGAAGGCTAATTATGTTTGTACAGATTACATTCTGGAGGTTATATTCAATAGTATTAATTGATAGCTGAGCAATAAACTACTTTGATTCCACACAAAAGCTTGTGCTGCAACCTTTAAAGCCCCTTTATTGGACACTCATAGCTACAGTCATTGCATATTTCACTATACATGACAATGCAATAGTATAATATACAGCTTAGTGACAAATTAAAAAGCTGAATGCTTGACCTCCTATAGTGTGGGCATCCGGAGCCCAGTTAAACATAATCAGTGATCAGTAGAAAGGTATGGTCTGGAAACTGACTCATCTGAATAGACCCACATTAACAAACATTGTCACATTAAAATGGCAATAAAATATCCATCAGTGTGGGTAGTTTAAATGTGAAGAAAAGGGCTCTTAAAGTAGGGTCAGCATTTACTCCACTACACTTGTATTAAAGATTTTGTTGCAGCTGTTTTCTGTTTTTTATGTTATAAAATCACAAATATACTATTTATCTTTGCTAGGGAACGCAGCAATTTAAGGGCTCCCATTCCAGAAGTGAGTTCCTTGTTCATTCTCTCCATTGATGTTTCAAAAAATCCTTATATAAAGAGTTTTAATCCTCAGACCAAACCAACCAGCTACGAGGTGAATCATGGCTATTAAAAAGATTTGATTTGGATTAAAAAAAAAAAAGAGAAGAAGGCAAAGGTACGAGGCTGTGTACAGGAACTGCTCATCCCCATAATGCACTGCAAATCCTAGATTTCACAGTGAATGACTTCCAGCCTCCTTCAATGTAATCCTTTGCATTGTTGTAGTGTTGCCTCGCTGCAATCATTGCTCTCTTGTTTTGTGCTGATGTTCCTACATTTACAGAATTTTAACAGTAACAGTGACCTCCACCGATTGGAGGCATTGCTGTTTCGGTTCAGGATTGTGGGTAGAGTAGTTCTTGTAAGCAGTGTCATAAGTAAAACGGGTTTTTGTTAAACCAGGGTTATATGTAAATAGTATTTAGTAAGCCTGCTTAAGGTGTTTACATTATGGCTGATATTCAGAATACTTGTGGGAGTTTTACTTCAGCAACCTCACAGTTGAGCTCGATATTCTTATGGTTTAAGTCTGTCGTGTGCAGAATAATCAGCACAAAAAGAATAATTGTTTTTAATTGCATTGGCAGTGTGTTTGGGATTATTGTCATGCTGAAAAAAATAAGGCGTTGGTAATTAGATGTCTTCCAGATGGTATTGAATGGTGGATTACATGGTACTTTTCTGAGTTCATTATTCATTGATTTTAATCTCCGACACCACCGGCTGAAATACAAAAACAAATGATTTGTGACAGGCTCCTATTAACAAATCGGTTCTTTACTCAAGGCCACTTTTAAAAATGACGGTTTGGCTTCTTGGAAGCAAAATGTAAAGAAACAAGGGGCGACTCAAGACTTTTGCACAGCACTGTATATTGATACCAAGTACCGGGTTTGGGTTTCAGTGTTAATTTAATCGTATGTGCTCCTCACTGGAAGGAAGATACTGTGAATCTTTTTTTTTTTTTTTTTTTTTTTTTTTTTTCTGGATGATGATCAAAACATCATGCTTGACTCAAACATTATTTTACTTATTTTAAGAAACGTGATGAATACATCCAAGAATATAAACTTATTGTCCAGCACAAGTAAAATGAATCTAATGTGTCTGAATTCCTCACCTAGTTTATTGGCACTATTCTCCTTTCAGCTCTCTGTGAGTGCTCCTGACTCACACATGCACGTCGTGTGGGGTGTGAAGTGAAGAAATATTGATGACGCCACACTATGTTACCATAAAAATGCAATAAATGCTTCCTAACAAGTTTTACACCTTACACATACCGAGAGTGAGAAGCTGACGGGGAAGCTCACAGTTAAGTCAAAAATGTCTGCAAACGTACAGAGAAAAGCTGCTTGTGTAGCAGTGCTCAGGCCCAAACCCCTGACCCTCATTGCTGCTGGTGTCCTCCAGGCTATGTTGGAGCAACTGCTGCTAATACGTAACATAGTAGACATAGAACAGCATAGATGACTTATATCTGATCCAAATGCTGGATTGGTGCTTCGGGAAATACAACAATAGAACTATCATGTAGACATAACACTCTTAAAATATGTATAAAGCCTCCAGATGCTCGTTTTGACATAAAAAAAAAAAAAGACGAGTTACTACAAATTTGCATTATTACAACAGCAGAATGGCCAGAACAAAAATGAATAGATGCAGCACAATGTTATAACAATAATACTGCACAAAAACAATAGAAGAAAAATGTCCAGTATACATCACAAATTAAATGTAAATGTGTATATATGAGACAATTTCAGTTTAACAGATTGTTTTTATTCGCACATTATGTTTAATGATCCCTTTTAATTGCATGTAAGGATTTATGATGATGTTTTTGTGTTTCAGGAGAAAGGAATCCCTTTGATGGGAGAATCCTCTTTCCTGGCCTCCTGGGTCAATCGCCGTGCCATTAAGATGGGTACGTACATGCTGTGAGATGGTGTTACTGCTTGGCAGCGAGTCAGCTTCATCTTTTGACAGACCTATAATTTGAGGAATTTTTTTTCCTCCCTGAACAATGGCTCTTTGACATCTTTGCCTGACAATAAGTCCCTTGTGTTGTGCGGCTAAGTGGAAGCGGCTTATCTGAAGAGATAAATGCAGCAAGGCAACTTCATTTTTTGTGTTCATATGTTCATACCGCAAGACAGGTTGTTAGAGGAGTCTTTAGCAAGTTGAGTTTTTCAATGATAAAACCTGTTGAATAAGCAGAAGTCATGCTGTCTCACAGATGAGCAGGAGGCGCTGAACTCCATCATGCAGGACTTGGCCGAACTGCACCGCTCCAGCCGTCCTGCCGCGTTCCTGTCAGACCTGTGCAAACCCAAAGCCTCGTCGCCCAAGAACCAGGTAACCCAAGTGAAAGCACGAAGGCTCAGTCTGGCTCATCTTTGCTCTGGCTGTCTTTAACTCTGTGCTCTGTCTCCAACAGAACGATGTGAGGGTGAAGTTTGAGTTCAAAGGGGAGAAGAGGTGAGGTTTCCACTGCTGTGTTTCTCCCTCCGGTGCTGTCAGTGCAGACCAGCAGCAGTGCCCGTCTCTGACCTCTCACCTGTCTTCTTCTTTGCAGGATTCTGCAGTTCCCTCGACCTATCAAGCTGGAGGATCTGAGGTCCAAAGCTAAAGTGGCTTTTGGTCAGACGATGGGCCTCCACTACACAAACAACGAGGTACGAAACTTGAAATGTAATTTTCCTCTGCTTCCTGTAGTAAATGGACTGGTTCTTATATAGCACCTTTCTACTCTACCTGAGTAGAAAGCACTTTACAACATGCCTCAGTCATCCATTCACACACACTCATACAGGGACTTTTTTCTATGCTGAAGTAGGGCTGCTCGATTATGGCAAAAATGCTAATCACGATTATTTTCACTGAAATTGAGATCTCGATTATTTGACGATATTTATTTAACAATAACAATGTGTTGAATAATGACTTTAAAAATTGTCAAAAAAAAATATAAAATAGTGTGCAAATACTGATAACAGTGCAAATGTTTGCAATATAAAAACTAAATGAAAAATGTAAACATCTGTGTTTAGTGAACGTTGCAGTGTTGCTCTGTGGTGCAGCTACGACACTGTAGCAAAGTTTACGCACTATGTCTACTTGATCCACGTCTGACTCCGTGAACCCATAATGTTTCCACACCACTGAAGTTTTTTTTACCTCTTTTCAACCAACGGCAGTCACTCTCCTCTCCAAATAACTTCTGCTTAGCTTTCCAAGCTTCCCTCGGGTCCTCTTAATCAACGGTCCCCAACCCCCAGGCCTCGGACCGGTACCGGTCCGTGAGTCGTTTGGTACCGGGCCGCGAGAGTTGAAGATATTGTCGGGCATAAACCGGTCCGTGGCGCAAAAAAGGTTGGAGACCGCTGCTCTCAATTGTTGTGACATGCGTTCGAAATGCAGAGAGGTGCGCTCGATTTGCCACACGGAGCAGCGCGAGAGTAAAGCACGAGGGAGGGGCTAATAATGGGCTCAGTCATTTTTAATGATCGCTGAAAGCCCAGATCGTAATCGTGATTAAAATTCGATTAATTGAGCAGCCCTATGCTGAAGTGCTTCCTATCTCACACACAGTCATGGATGCATGGGTGGGGGGGCTGAGGTGTTCTGAGCCAAGAGACAAAATCTCTGCAGCGTCTCCTGTTTCGATGTAAAGCACGTCACATCAGATTCGGTCAGTTTCACAAACCACACAGACTAGATCCCTTTCATGTGGAGAATCTGTAGCTGTGCTATGATCCCCCTCCTGTCATCCTAAACCTGTCCTTTCAACTGCCCTCGGTGCCCCTCTGATGTTGTTCTTCCCTCTGTGCAGTTTTTAAGAACACCCAGTGTGTTTCAGCGGCAGTGTGTCTCACTCTTTGCAGACTGACACAACTTTTTTCTGCTGTTTTCTTTGGTCATTTTGACGCAAAAATCATTGTGATTCATCAGCTAGATGTTTAGTTGCTGCCTCGCTAGTCTGCAACAGAAGTACTAGTAGGTTAAATGAATATTTTAGTAATTTACACCACCAGCTACCTGTTGGCTCTAAGATGACTGTTGGCAGGGGCGAGTGGGATCGTGGTCTGCGGCCTGTTTCAAGAAAGCAGACCACAGTTGTGCTACCAGTGCCATCCTGCCAGCCTTTGATGTAGAAAATGAACGATTGTACGAAAGCTGCATTAGGAAAAAAAAACAGAAGTAACTGAGTGAAGGTGTGAGCGTGTGACCACATCCTGCACAGGCGTGTGGATGTTAACCTGCTGCAGCTGCTCCACAAGGTTGGACACACTCTGCAAACTAACATGACACTGTGTACGCAGTGTTAGCTGCAGAGCTGTGCATGACAGCAACCTGTAACTCTGTTTTATCTACCGTAGAACAGGCCCACCAGAGCTTAGCTCTACAGGTTTGCATGCTTTAGCTTTTTCTTCCTATACATAATAGATAAATGATGAACCACAATTGAATTGAAAATCATGAAGTGTTTGAAAAAGTGCAGTCACAGTTTTACGTGTCTCAGGAACTTATACAGAAAGGCACAAAGTGAAACATCACTTTCTAATAGCACCAGTGGAGCTGTGTTCCTGAGAAAATGATGTCACTTCCTGTTGCATCTAGTGGAATCCATGAAACCCCGTGAATGTACAGCATGACAGACACTGGAGTGTAGGAAGTGCTGTGAACAGCTGATTGGATCAATGAAGCACCTGCGTGGATTATGTTTTTGTTGTTGTGTGCACTTCCACAAATGATCAAAAAGAATCACCCAATTTTTAAAAGGTTATTCAAGTCACTGTATTTCAATTTTTTTCTCTCCCCCCCCCCCTTGCAGTTGGTGATTCCATTGACCACTCAGGACGACCTGGACAAAGCTGTAGAGCTGCTGGATCGCAGTGTTCACATGAAGAGTCTGAAGATTCTCCTTGTGCTGCAGGTCTCCTCTGAGGTGGGCCATACTGCAATGACTTTAATGGTAGTTTCTGATACTTGTGCACAGTATGTACGTTGTGTGGCGGCCGACACACCTGCTGCTTTTTCTGTGCTGTAACCCCTCGACAGTTTTTACCTCTCAGCTGTAAAAGGCTGATTGGGGTGTTTTTTTTATACCAGCGTTGGTATTTTTAATCATCAAATCACTTTTATTGTCACATCACATGTGCAGGTACATTGGTACAGCACATGTGAGTGAAATTCTTGTGTGCGAGCTTCACAAGCAACAGAGTTGTGCAAAATACAAGAATGGCTACATCTGAAACTAATAACTGGATGTGTATACTAAATATTTCTCTACGTGCGTGTGTGTGTGTGTGTGTGTGTGTGTGTGTGTACACATATTTTACTAATTAAATAGAGTAAACAATAAATAAAATATATAAAATAAAATATACAGAGTGAGACATGTGCAATCTTTATGTTATAGCAGTGTTAACATAGAAGGGTTAGCTGAAAAACAAAGGAGATGTTAAACTTGTCCAGAGTTTCTTTTTAATGTTTAGTTTGTTTTGTGTCTGCAGAACTCGTCATCCAACATGGACCTTCTGCCGTCCCACGAGGAACTGGACAACACGGGGTTCCGGGTCACAGACAAGAAGAGCATGCTGGCGTTGATAGGTAAATGTTTGCTAAACAGTGATGCAGACTCAAAGCTTGCAGGGACGGGCACTAGTGCCCACCACAGCCTGGTAGTGGGTAAGGGTCAGGAACGAGCGTGTGTGTGTGTGTGTGTGTGGAAATTTTAAATTGACTGTCTCAGTGGTTCCAGTGTTAAGAAAAATACATGAATGCATGAAACTCGGACTCTTTTGTGCGAAAATAAGCATCACATGGTTTAGCTGTGACTGTGGCGCACACAGGACAATTTTCTCACTCTCTATAACCGCCGTCCTGTCAGGTTCCCACTCAACGGACCGCAGCTCTCCTCCTCCAGGATACATTCCCGACGCTCTGCAGCAGGTGGCGAGGAACGGCTCCTTCACCAGCATCAACAGCGAGGGGGAGTTCATCCCTGAGAGCATGGACCAGGTGCTGATGCTCAGGAGAGTCCACTTTAGTGTTTGCTACTTGAAAAGGAGCTGCTCTGATGTAACAAAGCGGAGCGCAAATCTAGTATTTAAGTGTAAACTCTAGGACATTTTAAATGTAAAATTAATTTTCACCAGCTTCTTTATCATAAAGCCGATATTTAAAGAGTTCTTTTTAAAGTTGCCATGCTGGACTTTACAGTAGCCATTAAAGCAAAACCTTCTGGCCTTTTAGTATTTTATTAAAGTTGATCTTTTCTTCCTCTTCTCCCTGCTGTGACTACTGAGTTCTGTGGTGTACCTGCCACTGTGGAGGACGGGTTAAGTCCCTGATATACTCCCAAACGGGCCTGGGCGCACACAGCAGGGAAGATGGTGGATGCGTATCTGGGTTCTTTTCATAGCACATTGAGTGTCTGGGTACATAGACGTGTTTTGCACACTTGTAGGTGAGTTCGTACAGGCGTGAATAGTGGAGGTCAGCAGGCTCCTTCGCAGACATGGGCAGTTTGTGTTACGTCACAAACAGCCTTCGTTAAAGTGTCACGTGATTCAGTGTAAGTGGCATAACTTGTGACTACTGCAGGTCTGGAGAGATGAGGGAAGGAATTATTTTTCTGTTTTGGAGGTTGTAAAAAGCTTAAATGTAATGTATTTATTATTGAGTTTTCTGAAGTTGCTCTTAGCATCATTTTATGTCAAATTAAATTCACCTGTTGGCTAATGAGATACAATTTGATTGGTTTTGAGAGGATGTGAGTTTCTTTCTCTCATTTCTCTTGTTTTACTTCAGATGTTGGATCCATTGTCCATGAGCAGTCCGGAGAACTCGGCTTCTGGAAGTTGTCCCTCCCTAGACAGCCCACTGGACAGGTCTGCGTCACAGAATAAAACAGGAAACCACAAAAAACTGCCGTGGAAGAAATCCCTCTGATTTGTTGCTGTTGTCTTTGTGTTGTGCAGTGATTACCCAAAGTCCAGGATGCCCAGGGCTCAGAGCTACCCAGATAACCATCAGGACTTTCCAGGTGAGAGCAGATCTTAGTTCACAGTAGAGCAGGGCAATATGACCAAAAATATTTATCACGATATACATTTGAAAATTTGCGATAACGATATAACTGACGATATAATTGACACTAGACAAAATACTTTACATCTCCACAACTTTATAAAACCCCATCAATGTATTTTCACTTAAACAAGCAGCTGTTTTTTATGTGCATTAAAGTTGTATAACAAATGTAACAGTACAAATGCAAATTCCTTGCTGACAGTTTAACCAAAAGACATTTCCAGTGGAAATTGGCCGACATATCTTCAGCATAACCATGTATAATATCCACAAAACTTAAAAAGAGCTTATACACACACAACGCGGTAATATTATGTTGAAGCACAGTACGTATCACTCCGTGAGGCGCCTGCCTACGATAACCGTAATGCTCCGACAATCCATCGTGCGGTTTTGTAGCTTAGCAAAGTCGTACTGAAACATTTGACAGATTTTCGAGCGCCGTGTACGCCATAAAATCGTTTCGAGGTCAGTAAACACAACCAGAATTCATACATAAGGCACACGGGATTATAAGGGGCACTGTCGATTTTCAGAAAAATCAAAGGATTGATTTTAAGTGTGCCATATTTTCCAAACAACACGGTAATAACGACGGCCCGCTAGCATGCGCTCCCAAAATAGTGCTTTGTTGTGTATCTGACGGACGAAAGCTAAACCAGTTCCACACCACTGAAGTTGCAGCATTTTTACAAACCAATTCTGGTTCATCAGTTTCATTTAACGATCCACTTTCGCACTTCTCATTCTGCGTCGCCGCCATGTGTGTATGTAAACATAGGCACTGCGCATGTGCGTTTTACCCATATTCTATCATGATATTTCATTTTCCTATTGTTGCCCAAAATTACACCAGTATTACCGTGAACGGTATGATATAGCCCAGCCCTAGTTCATGGGTGTTAGACTGTTTAAGGGTTTAAAAAATAAAAACAACAACAATCTGATCTACCAGGCAGTGAAGAGTTTAACAGGCTAAAACTTAAACCAGACTAAGAGCCAAACCTTTAACCCTCTATAGTTGATGTACTAGCATGTCCAAATCACACAACTGATTTTAAGATGATGTAACTGCAAGACGCAGCCTTGCTGAATCTCTGTTTCTACTTGTGTTGAAAGTTAAGACTTTAAACTATATATCAGGTATTAAATCGTATTGCTGGACCAAGTAGAACTAGACTTATGATCACTAACCTACACCATGCTTTGCTTGTCACGTTGAGGGCAGGAAGAAATGGTAAAAATGGGATTTTTCAAGTAAAGCGAGCACTCACGATTTACAGATTACAGTTAAAAGGCCCAAAACATTCTCATGTCGAGGTTGCCATCTTTGAAAGCTGTTTTGAGGCCATGGCCTGTAAATTTCATCTTTTGTATCCTCCTTCCTCTGCAGAGTACGATATTCCGGTGTTTGAGAAGTCAGGGAAAGGAGGGACGTATCCTCGCCGGTACGGCATTCCTTTTGGCCTTCAGGATTACAGTGATGGTGGGTAATTCATTTATTTATTCCTACTGATGCTGAAAGCAAATTGACTTTAAACAGGGATTTAAAAATGATCGCTCTCCTTCATCCTCTGAACAGGGAGGAAGACTTTCCCTCGGGCTCGGCGGACGCAAGTTCACGGTTTCCGCTCTCCAATCAGCTTCAGCTCAACCGAGCAGTCGCCCAGCACCAGCAGTGGCAGCAGCGTCTTCACGCCTGACCTGGAGGAGGTCCCCGGCCCCGCCAGGAGGCCGCGGAGGGGGAGTGACATCGAGCCAAACCCCAATCCAGCCGTGGCTCCGACGCTCTCCGTCATGGACGTCAGTCCACCCAGCCGCTGTGAGTCCTCGCAACACGACACGTCCTCCAGATGTTTGTTTTTCTGCGTTTTTAGCAAACCTGATGTGTCTTTGTGCACAGCCCCGCGAGCGCCGACCAACTGGCGGCTGGGGAAGCTTCTAGGTCAGGGAGCTTTCGGGCGGGTCTTCCTGTGTTATGATGCCGATACTGGACGGGAACTGGCAGTTAAACAAGTTCAGTTTGATCCAGAGAGTCCCGAGACGAGTAAGGTACGTACACAGCAGCATAGAATATATTAAATACAGTGGTAGGAAAATGGAAAGACAAGGCAAAAAGGAAAAAAAAAAAGACCTTAAATAATTCCCTGAATCATTGCTTTGGGTGGAAGTGTGGATCTAGATGCTATGTCATTGTTTTATGAAGCTTATCAGGGCTCCAGAGTGCGACCAATTTGGTCGCAAATGCGACCAAATTTGTCAGTGGTGCGACTTAAAAAACCAAAAAAAACCAAAACTGTTCGGGTAACAAAAAAAAAGAAAGAGTAGCTTGAATAAAGTGATATCAATTCATTAACTGATTCCACACAAAGACATAAACACAGAGCGGACCCGACGCATCAGAATCAGCTTTCTTTCTCGGCTTTCTCACCCGACGGCCCGAACACGGACACGCTGTCGGAGCTTAGCGATTCTGATGCGTCGGGTCCGCTCTGTGTTCTCTGTTTTCTGCATTATTCATTCGCTTATTACCCACCAGTCTACTGTTGTTTACAGCGCTGTCTTTTTCTTTTTTCACTTAAATGACCTCGGACAAGAAAGCCTATTTTTTTCTGTTCAATACTGAAGAAATTTAAACTTTATATGCAGAACATTGTGGAATATTTTTAAGGTTATCTGCTATAAAAAGCCAGACCAGGAAAATCTCCTTCATGTTTTTCTGTGTTTTATTCTCAGTTACTTTCACACAAAGGCATCTGCTGTGATGTTCACAATTCTGATGAAGTCTCATGTGTATCAGTACTGATAAATGATTAGAATTATAATATTTCTGACTGTCTGAGGCTAAATTGAATCGAATCAGGACTTTGAGAACCAGAATCGAATGGATTATGGAAATCAGTGATGATACCCATCCCTAGTGAGCAGCCTAGGCCTGTGAGAAGTGGATGTAGCTGTGGGTAATAAGAAAAGATGAAAAGTTAAGGCCTGATCAGTCTGAAATCCATAGCCAGTGCTCTGACACGGTGCCATCAATCTTTGAATGCTGAAAAAGCACAATGTATCCAGGAAACACATTATATGCTGCAATAAATGCACTGCCCAAGTGTCCCCTCTCCCCACTGCCTTTCAGCAGCAAACAGGTCGTCAGAGGAGGCCGAGATGATGATTAAGTTTAACATTTTCTACAATATTGACAAAGCACTTTAAGCACAAGTTTGTTAGTTAATAATTTAGAAATGAATATTGTTTTTATG